TATTATTATTATTATTATTATTATTATTATTATTATTATTATTATTAAAGGTGTGACCATTAGTCCTTTTCCAAATGTCCTGACATTATTATTTGGTGTCTGATTCTGTCTCACGGTTCTGGTAGCATACAGACTTCCTCCCAGACCGAAAAAAACAGCGCTGAAATTGCTGCAGGGTCGGACAGGGCAACCTTGTCTTCAGGCACTCAGAAACTCAATCTGGAAAAAAATGAAGAGGAAGAAAAACGTCTGATTGTTTCGATATTTATATTTATTTTCCTCGGAGCTCCGAAGTGATCTGACGGGACAGAGGCGCAGGTACGGAGAAGAAGAAGAAGAAAAATGCAAGAGAAAATTGTCAGAAAAAAAATGAAATGATAAAATTCAAAAAAAGAAAAACGGCAGGTACTGGTACTGTATAATGATGATTGGTTCAACGTTAATAATATGCTTGACCGCCAGGTGTATCAATAAGCCTTGAGCCGGTGTGGAGCGCCACTAATGAAGAAGTATAACCCTTCAGGAATTTACCCGATTAAGTCTCCGTTCGGTGTGCAGAGGATCGGGTCTCATTATTAGGTTTCCTCGTGGGATATCTGGAAATCAACTTGTGCAGCAGGCGCTCTTATGAAGGCGTGCTGCGGTATACAGGGGCGCACACGCAGGTCACAAGTCTACATGAAGTGCAGGGAAATCTGGGTGGCAAAACTGTCTGAATCGTCTGCTGATCATAACTCGTTTTATTTATAATAAGCCCTTGATAAAAGCAGACACATGACGGAAGAAAAAAACACACACTACTCACAAAAACGGAAATAGGTCACAGGTTAAAAGCAACAGTTTTTAAAAGTATGTCGCTGGATAAAATACAGGTTTATTGCAGTAAAATGTTGCAAAGACCATTCTCTAACATAACTTGCTAACGGGCTCCTGTCTTGTTTTGGTTTCGTGAAAATGAAAATAGTTTTGATATACTGTAGTAACAGTGGGATGTGAAGATGGATTTTTTTTAAAATAAATGTGTGTGTCAGATACATTCCAGGCGACGAGACCATAACCTGTGCCCTTTCAATCAGAGGGGAGGAGGGCGGCTTTAACTGCGGCTGAGGAAAACACAATCAGTGAGCATTTTGAAAACAAAATTGCCGGTCCTGCTGATATACATGATAATTACAACTCGCAGTGAATGCTCTGGAATTAGCCTGTGCTGTACCAGACGGGTATTAGGCGAAAAATAATTTGCCTTAAACCTGCTTAAATATAAAGTCATTTTACATCGTTTTCGATCGACCTTTATTTTTTGCATTTTTTAAATCCATACTGGTCTGGACAATAATTGAATGTGGTGCTGCAGAATTATTGCTCGCTTTGCCTTTTGTTTCTCAACAATGTAATCTGGTCGCATTCATCAGAAATACCTTTCCTGATTACCTCGCAGTGAGGATTCCACTTGCCAAACATGCTTCCTCAAACTGGGAGCGAGAGTACACACCTTTCAGGGTTATTTACTTAAGCGTTCGTTGGCCTCATTCCTGAATAGGCACGCAAACAAAAAGATCAATGCGCAAAAACGGCACCCATGCTCTTCGGAGATCATAAATTGTAAAGAGGATATGTAGTATGCTGTAAAGGTTAATCCCACGCGTGTGTCTTGACAGCCAACGCATGCAGACGCGGCTCTCCCACTCCAACAACTCTAGCGTGTTTGAATGCGTATCTGGGGTGCGTGATGTTCAGTTTTTTTTTCCAGACTTTACTCTCCGTTGTGATTTCTTAAACGACAGAACAGACATCATATCTGAATCTGCTGCTCTCGAGCGACAAGGTGCACCCTCTCTCTGGTGTGTGTTGAAGGAGATCCTGAGACAGAACCACGGACACATGCGGGGATTATTCTTGCAGACAAGCGTGGCTTCTGTCAATCATTAACATCAGACGTGAACTGTTTAACCAGTCTGCCTGATAAGAAAAACTTTCATTTGACTTTTTTTGCTTTATGTCTTTAAGTCCTAGCATTTGAAGGATATAAGGCCTGCCTTTTCTCACAGGGCTTTCGCTATCTGATTTGTCCCCCAACATGTGTCTGTAATTTAGTCCTCCAACCACGAGGGGCTAGCTTAGTCTCTGCAGTAACATGGTAATTAACACCATTGTACCAATCGTTGCTACGGTGTAATTACAGTATTTAGTGAATTGATTAGCACATCAATAATCAAGCGCTTAAAATGGTAGTAACCCCATTTATTGTTTTAATCATTGTAATGGCTTGGTGATTTCTACTGCTAACCTATATGTGTCGCCAATTTAGTCATTTAACTATGACGTACGTTTTCTATTCAGACTAAGACCTCGAATGCAAGACTACCACATCTTAAAAGACAAAGGTGTCATCGTTCAGAACAGGGATAAATACGTTCAGAAAGTGAAGTGTCCTTTAACCACTGAGGCTCCCTTCAGTTATCAGGTGCTTCTTCTTCCTGGAATCTCTAGGCAGCCTAGAGAGCTCAAACTTCTCACTAGCCATACTTCTGAAACAGATCCTGCTCGTATTTCTCTTCCCAATATGCCCCAGGTTAAGAAGCATAGTGTAAACCTTGCTACCACCCCCCATAGGTCAGGCTACCAGGTCCTCTGTTGCTCTGTGAGTTTAATAGCTGATCAATACAGGACAAGGGTTCAGTAACCCACTGTACACACTGGGCAAAGGTAGCCTGGTGGACACATTCACAAACAAAACCCTCACCTACACAGCTACATCGCTTTAGGGCTTTGTAGCAGTGATAATGAAAGGGTAAGTCTGAAACATTTTTATAAGCTGTTGATGAGCTGAGGCACCCAAGCGATTATCATAACCACTGAGAAAAGCATCCTTAGTTATCCTAAACATTAATGGCAAGAGCAGGAAAGGGAATGATTTGGCAGGTGTGATTTGATATGTCATTTTTATTATATTTCTTATGCATCTTGTTTTTTTAACTGTGTTTAACTTGGATCGGATAGGAAAATTTACACTTGAGGAGCTTCTAGTTTGTAGGTCCTGCAATCTGCAGATCTCAATGTACTGTATATAAAAATGAGGAAATAAATGAAATGGTGTGCCTCAGGCGTGCCGGTGATCGGGAGGGGATTTCTGATCGTGCAAGCCGTAATTTCTTTTCGTTTCATTTCGTTTCTCCCAGCTTCCTGGTAATCGTCGCCTGCTTTGTGCATTTATCTCACTGCGTTGACCTGAGAGGCCTGTATGGGACCTTCACCAGCCCACAGTTCCCAAACCCCTACCCGGATAACTCCTACCAGGTCTGGGATATCTCCGTCCCCGAAGGCCACAGGATCAAGCTTTACTTCACCCACTTCAGCCTCGAGCCGTCCTACCTGTGTGAATACGACTACATGCAGGTATCCCCCGGAGGGCCTCCCCTCACTGTTTCTGGTCAGACCGTCCATTGAGGTCCCACGGGCTACACAATCCTCGTGCTGTACAGGCTCGTCAGGGCTTGATTTGTAAAGGATTGTGTCACAGCAGCTAGAAGCCCAAAAATAAAATTGAGTTCCGGCTCGCTGAGATGGATCATTGCTGGAGCAGGAGACCTCCACGTAAACCAGACGGCGGCTTCCAGTGGTTTTGATCAGCCACTAGGTGGTGCTCCTTCCTCTAGATCACAGCTTCCAAACTAATACCCCATTTCTGTGAGCAGGGGCACTGTGCTGTAGAAGGCACTGTCAAGAAACATTAAAACCCAGATCCTTGAGTAGGGGTGTTAACTGCAGCGTCCTTGTTACTTTCCACCCTAGCCTTGGACAGAAAAACTTTGTTTCGCTTGAGCATGAAGTCAGTCCCCACCTAAATGTGACGTGCTCTGGGATCTGTTGGGATGGAAGCACCATACACGCACAAGCAATGACAGATTTCTTCACGTATTCTGTTGCTTATTGGTTCCAATCCATAATTCAATCAGCACTTAAACAAAATTAATAACTCTTTTCACAAGCAGGCTAACTGACATGTGACAGCCCTTGATGTGTTTTAAATGCAGAGAAAAATAATGTCAATGTCAGAACTGATGTAATGTAGCACAACTAGAACAAAATCTGCAAACCCTGGGAATTGTTCTGTCATATTTTTACACTACTGAGTAGTAAGTGTGGTATAATGCAGATAATTTGAAAATGAGTGTCGTTTATGTTTGTAGTTTGTAGCAGAAGGCAATGAGACCTTCAGATTCTGTGGAGAAGGTGAGAAAGATTATGAGGATGCTCCAGGGCCTACTGTGTACTATTCAGCTGGCAACACAATGTCAGTGATTTTCAGATCCGATTATTCGAATGAGAAAAGATTCACAGGATTTCAAGCATTTTACGCAGCAGAAGGTAAGTAAAAGTATCTCTGTACTTCCCATTGATGTACTGTAAACACTGTACTACTCTCTCTGTTCCACATGAATTCTAGTACATAGTACACTTTTCATAGATGTACTACAGTATACATGGGCTTTGCATGCTTTTATGAAAATATAATAGATTTTTCAATCGTTGAGGTATGAAGGGAAAAAATGAAGTTTATTTTGGTGCGTGTATCCTCTTGGAAGAGGACAGTACGGCATCTAGATTCAGGGGCCAGTGAAATTGAAGACTCCGAATATTTTCTCTCTTGTAATGGGACTTTGAAGTTGATTGAAAAAAGAAAACAAGGCCCATGAACAGAATATGATTGTAGCTGGTAGCTTGACAGCCACTGAGCGTGGAAAAGAAAATTGATTTCTCAACAGCCTCAATTTTCAAAGTCTTGGCTCACAACGCTGACAGTTTGAAGGTGCCTGCTGCCCACACAGTGCAGGTTCAGAGCCACTTGTGCCTTCTTTGAACAGCAACAGGCTCTTGTTAACTCAGGCACCTTTTTAAGCAACGTTTCTTGTTCCAGACGATTTTTTATCTCAGGCATTGATATGACCATAAGCTGTAATGAAGTAACAAAATTTGCCAGTAATTCCACTCTGTGCCTTGCTTTTGCTGGGAACAGATATAACAGTGGACTTTTGACTCTGCTGTTTTGCTGCCTGAAGCCTGTATCTCTGAATTGGCACAAGCTAGAAACACTAACAGTAAGTGTGACATCAGCTGTCACAGCCTGTCTTCTGAGCTTTCGAGGTGAGCTCTAGGTTCGGCATGCAGGAAAGGACCATTAGCTTGTGGAAGAAGCTGTCCCCTGCTTATCACTGTAAACGATGAACCGTTCTGCCAATTAACAGGTTTTTGTCATCACAGATGTGTGATGCTTGGGAGGATAATTCGATGTCTCTTGCAAGGCTGTGTGAGTGACAGGGTGCTCTGTTGCTAATGCTCTGTCAGACACCTGTCACTAATGGAGCAATGATGAAAGGAATATTAATCAAAGTACCAACCCCTGTTGAAAAGTGCAGCTTCTGTTGCAGCTCCCAGATTGAGCATTCACACCATTTTCTTTCATACCACCACTGAGAAACCACTCTGTCTTCTCCTTCCAGTGCAGTAGGTCTCTGTATGTAGAGTGTTTGGCCTGGTGTAATGCAAACACGGGACAGTTTGGCTCTAGGAATGAGTAAATTGAGAAGTTTGAAGCCTTAGGTCTTGCTTTCCTACAAGACCGCATTCCTTTGCAGAAAACATATCCTCTGATTTAATTTGATGGCTAGTGCAGACAAAAGAGCTGGTGCTGTGAAATGGTTTAAGCTTTGTTCCTGCTCCACAGATATTAATGAATGCAAGCTTGCAGTGGATGGAGAGCCTTACTGTGACCATAATTGCCACAATTATGTGGGTGGCTATTACTGCACTTGTAGATTGGGATACCATCTCCATTCCAACAAAAGAACCTGTACCGGTAAGTTTTTTTAAAAAATTGCATTAGGCAGCTTTTAAATGACCCTGTACTATATTTGTACAATATCATAAAAATATCTAGGGCTCTGATTAATGATAATGTACCTGAAACCCCAAACTTTTTTTTTCCTTGTTATTTCAGTCCATCCTTTCTACATTTTTGCTCTTGTTTGGTTTTTCCCTCCTCTGTCCATGACACGCACACAAAAGCCTTTCCTAGATTTGCATGAATTAATACTGTACTCATTAAAACAATCCTGAAGAATTCAATACATACCGTAGACGTAACTGAGAAGCAACATGCTCTAAGGTATTATCAGCTTGATGTTTTGTGGAATCTGGCTACTAGGAAAAAAAAACAGCCAGGAACTAAAGGTGCTCTGTTTGTCCTGAAGCAGAATGGACTTGGTAATTGCCAGTTCTCCTGCTTGCACGCGAGTACCATTCTGGGATCCCTAAGCATTTTTCCTCCTTCCTGAAATGGAAACCTGGGAAGCTCAGAGATCTGGTCCACAGCCACTTGTTCTTGGTTAACTCAGCCAAGCCTGTGGCAGATACGACTTTGATCAGAGCATTAAACTGGGGAGCGATGTTACAACCGATGTATGGATCATCACGCTCACAGGCCAAGCAAGCTGAGCTGCAGTATGGCTGAATAATCCAGCTGACCTGCTTGTTAACTTGCCTAATGCTTAGGAGAGCCAGAGAGAGCCCAGCCTTCTTTACCAGGCTGTTTATCTCTGACATGCTCTGTGAATTCAAGTAAATTACTCCAGGTACTTGGAGGAATAATCATCTAGAAAGCCACTGTTAATTGATAACCCATTGTAACTGTAATAGCTCTCGGACACTGGCATGGATAATTTATCACAATTAACACCAGAGTCATTTTTTCTTATTATCTTCGTTCTTTGCAAAAGGGGGGTGAAAATGCATTCGGGCATTAAACACACAGTCTGTGCCAAAGTTATCGTATGAGTCTGCCTTCTAGTTTGTGTTATGATGTTAATTATGTGAACTCCGACTCTTCTGAACAAAAGCATTTTTTTGTATTAATCTACTAAACCTTTTCAGAACTAATTTTCAGCTGTGATTTAATACACATTTTCCGTCCTTCATTTTGTGAGAAGCAGTTATTGTCATTAAATAAGAGCTTGTGAAAAAGATTCAGTTATGTACTGTAGGCAGCTTCTGCTTGGAAAGTTTGAGCTGAAACTAGTGATGTTTTGCAATGATTCTAAATTCAGGCAAATTAAATTACCTTGTGCTGCTAGTTCAATTGAACAAGGGACTTTTCTTCTCTGTCTTCTTAAAGCAAAAATCATCTTCACAGCTCAACAGATCTAACAGCAGGTTTCAGCTGATGAGCAGACTTCTATCACTGAAAAGGTGTCAAGTAGCCTGTTCAAAGTCACACCTCTGGGGCAGTATGAATTAAACTGCACTAGTACTTTGCACTGTGAATTCTCTGCGGCCATGTCTCTGCTTACAGTTTGTCACTGAAAAAATGAAACATTTGACATACATGAGTGGCATAACCTGAGCCTCAGAGTGCTGTGAAACACAGCACCAACACTGAGGAAGAGTTCCCAGCCTGTCCCCCTAGTATGCCACCTCCCTGTGGGTGGCATTTTCAAATGCACAGACCAATTTTTTCTGTCCCACAATGAGGGAAGCTTCACTTTATTCTTCCTTTTCCTTTTTTTGACATCCTTCTGTCACCCATCCTCTGCCTCTATTGAAACTCAAAATAATCGACTTCCTAGTCAGTAATGAATTTTTCGAGACATAGTATTTTGTACATTACAACATGCATACAGTAGCTCACATTTTAACAGAACAGAGTAAGAGACTTCTGATGTTATAAGTAGTCTCCAATGCACTTACAGAGAAATCTGGTGCCAGGATCTAAAAAATCCTTTAAAATCTATCTTTTGTCCAAGGTGGCCACCCTCCCTGGAGCTCTAGAGTTAGGATCCAGTACTTGCACTGCCATGGACCAGGTCTGCTCAAGGAAGTGGACATCTAATTCTTCCTTTCTGTCTTATGACAAAAGAGTTGCAGGGTCATTTACTGTGATGGACCGGAGTCCCGTCCAGTGGGGATCCTTGGCTTTGTGCCTGTTGCTCGCTGGGATAGGCTCAGATTTCCCTGCAACCCTAAATCAGATGAGGCAGCTAGAAATTGAGAGGATGGATGTCCACAGTGGGTGCACTGTTTGTCTTAGATGCTAGTGGTATCTCGACTTGGTTGTCTTTTGCAGTTCAGTGCAGTAACCAGGTCTTCACCGAGAGATCTGGGGAGCTGACCAGCCCAGACTATCCTTCAGCATATCCAAAGCTCTCCCAGTGCACCTACAGCATCCGGCTGGACGAGGGCTTCAGTCTGATACTGGAGTTCGTGGAGTCTTTCGATGTTGAGTACCATCCTGATGTTTCCTGCCCGTATGATGTCTTAAAGGTCAGCCTGCCGAATTTTGCAACGTGTGTGAAGCAGTACAAACTTGATGGCTGAGTTTAAAATCCTTGCTGCTGCTGAAGGGAAATATTGTCCAGATGCTGGACTGAATCACTTATTTTCGCTTCATCTCACTGTCAGAGGTAGTGAAGGTTATTATTATTATTATTATTATTATTATTATTATTATTATTATTATTATTATTATTATTATTAAAAACTACTTCTCCAGCCTTTACGGGGAACTTTAGGGTTGAAAGATTGTATGAGCTCAGAGTGCAAAATCTTCGGGATACTGGGTGAACACCCATAGAATTACAATTATTCAGTAGTACGGTCACACCCTAAATAAGGTGGAGAAGAGGTGTGATTCGAATAGTGGGCAGTATTGGGGTAATTCACCTGTCTGAAAGAATAATCTGCCCCTGCTTTAATGAAGGATGAGCCAGGGAGCTGCAAGAGCAAGGAATAAGTGGGCAAGTTCACCTGCTCCCAAACTGTTGCTTAAAACTCCAGAAAATGAAAGGAACCCATTTGGCCTTTCTTGTTTGGCTTCTGATCACCCAGTAAGACTTTGGCTCCAGAATGCCATTCAGGTATTTCTAAAGGGGCCGTCTGGCTGGGAACTTCAGTTTAAAAATCAGCCCCATCTGAACACTCATCCCATTTATTGATGCAAAAACATTCATTTTCCATTTCTGTTACCTGGGAGAGAAAATGCTTCCAGATTCTAGACCATTAAGTTAAACATTAAAACATTCCACAGTCATGCAAGTTAACAAGAAAATATTCAACTAGCGCAAAATATGTGTATATAAAAATATTTAGGCAATTTCACCACAAGGATTTTGGGGGAGGACGCAAAAGCAGAAAATCAAGAGAGAAGTTCGTAAATTCAGCATTTGAGTGTGTGGCACATTTAACAGGCCCTAATGGTATTATACAACCAAAGCACTGTTTTATTCTTTTACAGCTGAAATGTGTATTGCATTAGCATATATTAATACCCTGCCAGGGGCTGGCAGAGAGAATTAGATGGGAAAGGCAATTGAAAACTGTAATGGCATTTAAGTGCAAGACTAATAATTTTCTTTTAAGTGCTGGGCAATGATGCACAGGGTTATAATCATGAAAGATACGTATTATCAAATGGAGTACAGAACAGACTTATTTGGATTGTAAATTTCTGTAATTAGTATTTAAAAACGTTAACAGAAGGATGAAACGTGTCAGTCAGAATAGCACAGAATTTCCATGCTGCTGTGTCAGACATGCTGGTAAGGCCAGTGGCTGCTGTACAAACCCATTTCCGAACATTATGTAAAAGGTTATTGTCTCTGCGAAAGGAACAAAAAAAAATCTTGTTATATGAACAGGTCATTCATAGTCTTCAGTTTAAAGAGATTGAAAAAAATTACAGGCTTTTAAATGATTGCTCTTTTAAATCCCCATTGTGTCAGTTATTTAATGAGAACTTCGTGTCAGATTTCTGAGTTTTTAATGGTTTATTTTTAATTACAACCCCAGTGCTTCCACTGCTTGTACAGTGTTAAAAGCAGACACTTGAATGAATCAATTAGTGCAGCTGTCTTAAATGAACAAGCCTAACCCTCGTGGTGCCCTTTTCAGCATTTCTGTACTATGTACTGCCTCTTTAGGGGGAATAAACCTTGTGTAGAAAGCAAAGCTCAGTGTGAACCTGAAGAAACCTGCCGTGCTAAATTGGAATAGTATTTATGCACTTTTCCCCACAATTTCTTCTGACTTATACTGTGCAGTTACTTTGCTGAATCAAGGTTCGTATCATGTGCCTCATGGTCACCACACCTTTCTGTGCTGTTACCATGCATTCCTGTACTTTACTCTGCCTTTACCATGGTACACCCCAACTCTTTAGAATGATGAGCTGTCGGGGTCTCCCAAGAGACTCAGCCAGTGAAGGTGCTCACTCGAGAGCAGGTAGAACTGTATGATCCAGGGTTCGAGGCTGATGGCACTAACCGACTATGACTAGGATTCCCCAATTGGCAAATCGTTCCCATTTCAAGCGCCGGCTCGGCAGCTCAGGCCCAGTCAGAGCTCGGCTGCTTGGGCTGTCTGACGACACTCTTCCTGCCTTTTTTCTTCTGAAGATCAGCACCAAGAAGAAAGAGTACGGCCCCTTCTGCGGATCATCGCTGCCCAAAAAGATCGAAACTGGGAGCAACGAGGTGGAGGTTCTTTTCAGAACAGACGGCTCGGGAACCAACAAGGGCTGGAAGATCAAATACAGCAGCACAGGTATTGTCAGTCATAAACCAAAGTTGTGGGGATACTGCAGCGCCCGGACTTTGTAATGGGCATGTAGGTAGGTAGGTAGGTTCTGCGACTCCTTTTCCTAGTGATTATTTAGTAACAGCAGCTGGTTGCATAAAGACCCAGAGCTGTCTTTAAAAGGGATAAAGACATTGCCATACCAGTGCTGTGTCACACAATTGCTCGACACCCTGCCATGCTGCTCACCACTTCTCTGTGCTGAAACGAAGGAGCCAGGTGCAGTACAGTGTCCCTCACACTGTGCCCGCTGCCGTGGGAGTGTTGTATGTGGTTTATTGACACCAAGCCTGAATTCAGTGCTTCTTAGACTGCTGGACAGCTGTGCGAAAGATGAGTGAAGCACGGTAAAATCATGGTAGAGCATGGGGGAGGGCCCAGAAGCAGCTGGGAACGCAGGCAGCTGAACTGGGGGGAAATGTAGGACAGTGAAGTGCAGGCTTTATTTGTGCGTCAGAAAAACGCAACAAAAAATCCCAAGGCATCGAGGCATTCTTCACTCAGTGAGGTTTTGTCTTTCTGTGAACATGCAGCTACGCCCTGTCCAGACCCTGTGGTTCCTCCTCACGGAAGGATCCTCCCTCTCCTGCCTCAGTACGTCTTCAAGGACAGCTTCACTCTGACGTGCGAGAACGGATATGAATTGCTGCAGGTAGCTCCGATTCCTTCGCTGTCCTCAAAGCAGGGAAGCCGGAACACATCGTTAACAAGGGAAAAGGCACAAAAAACTAACCTTTAGGTTATCACATAAGTGTATTTTTATTCTTACACAATCCACATTGTTTCCCTTTGAAGGCAGGAGGTTACAGTCTCAGACTTAAAACTGTGTCATTGGGCTTCAGCTCTGTGAATGGGAGGGGAAACTGTCTTTTCTGTCTTTAGGGATCTAAGGAGCTGCCCAGCTTCCGAGCAACCTGCAGGAAGGATGGAACGTGGGATCAGCCGATGCCCAGATGTAGCAGTGAGTGGCAGTGCTCTCATGGCTCTGGCCCGCTGTGTTTCTTGAAGTGTCATGTTGAGACTGAGAAAAAGATCTTCAAGCCTGCTGGCTCAAAGCCGGTTGGGAGTGTATCAGGAAAAGTCAAAGTGGGGACACAGTGAGCCACATTCTACGTCACTGCTTCTGTAATTTCTCACTATAAAGTCCACAGCTCATACAAAGCTTGTAACAGTCTTTTTATGTGCAATGACTTTAAAAAAAGGATATTTTGCAATGAAGCTCTTCAGGTGTCTTTCTTTTTAACTGCCTATCATTTTTGGAAATTGCACCATTTGGGATGAGCTGCAGGTAGCCGAGTTAATTTTTACCTTCAGTTCAGCCGAACTGAAAAAGCTGACTTGTATTGAATGTTTTTTTTTTATTCAGTTGTTGACTGTGCACAGCCTGATGAAATCCTCAATGGCCAAGTTTCTGCTTCCACAACAACCTTCCAGTCTGTCATACGCTATACCTGCAAAGAGCCGTTCTATAAAATGAAAGGAGATGCAGACGGTAAGATCTGTAAATGTTACAATAGTTCTATATGTTGCACCACTTCCTCAAGATCTCATACTGAAAATGGACACTTTTAAAGGCTTGGTGACTGCTATATCATAAAACTTATAAAATACTAATGCAAACCATTCAATTTCTTTATTAGTAATCATACCCTGTGCCATTTTTGCTTCGTTTGATGCATTCTGGAGTTCAATTTTTAATGAATAAGAGAATACAATGATGCTCCAAGCTTGGAGAACTCACATCACAGCAGCTAGTATTACTAGCTTGCTTTTTCTGGTCTCACCCTCCACAGGAAGGTATACATGTGCTTCAGATGGCTACTGGAGAGACTCAAAGGGGAAGAGTGACCTTCCTGAATGTGAGCCTAGTAAGTAAGAACATTTGAAGAACATTTTACTTTTCTGAATGAGATTGCCAAGGGGCATCTGTGGTCAGACATAACTTGGAATTGCCTTTTGTTTAGCTATGTCTCCTATCGTGGGGCAAATGATGAACTTTGAATGTGTTCCTCATGACACACCCACCTTAGACTCCTGTAAGTGCCAGAGTGCCATACAGAAGCAGCTGCACTGACTCCAGCAGCAGCTGTGTTGAAGCCATAGTAAGCTCATAGAGGGAACTGGGAACTGGCAGCTGTTCTCCAGCTGTTCCAGCTGTTGCTCATGCGATCTTAGTCAAGGGCTGTGCCTAGCCAGTTGTTCGACAAGCTGAAGGATTCCAGTTTAAGCTCAAACTGGCTATGTGTGGCCCCCAAAGCTCAATCTGCAGTCTGAGCTCATGGTTTATTGAATGTGGTTTTAAACTGCCTTTTAAAGTAGTGCTATCCCTGTTGTGCCAAGAGACCAGTCACCTGCCACAGGGGAGTAAAGCCACTCTTAAGAACACTGGAGTGTGTCTTTGCACACTATGAACCCTGTTTTACACATATGTTTTCTGGGAATAATTGATCTTTGAAACAAATTGTATGAACATCATTGATTAGATCGTAACTACTCACTTCTGTGATGCCGATGTGTCTTGGCAGTGCCACAGACAGGGGCATCTGCACCGTGAGGCCATGGTGTAACATCGCCTTCTCCCCTGGTAGGAGATGTTGGCAGATTGATGTTGCTCCAGAGCTACTAGTATAGAAGAAATGGCACACCAGAACTCAGATAAAATGCAAGGAAGTCCCTGCCTGGCGCGTCTGGTGGCAGGAGGATTGCTCTTGAGATTTTGCTTGTCTCCCCAGCCTGTGGAACTCCAACATCTGGAAAGCTCGCCCGCATAATTGGAGGGAACCAGGCAGTGAAGGATGAGTTTCCTTGGCAGGTCCTCGTGATCGTGGGCCAGGAGTTTAAAGGTGGCGCCTCCCTGATTTCTGACAACTGGGTCCTCACAGCCGCCCACGTCCTGCAGGGCCATGGGGATGTGGCCAACGTGGAGCTGAAAATGGGCATAACTGAGCGAGCGGACAGCAACGCCGTCGTGGGTGTTCCCGAGAAAATCTTCATCCACGACCGTTACAAACAGGATGGCGTGAACTACGACCATGACATCGCCCTGGTCAAGCTGAGCAACAGAGTGCCCATCAGCTCCTCCGTCATGCCAGTCTGCTTACCGCAAAGGGAGGACAGATTTCTCGTGAAGCAGGACGACATAGGGGTGGTGTCGGGGTGGGGGGTGTCCCGGAAATCCGGCCGCGGCCCCGGCTCGGTCCACCTGAGGTACGTCGAGCTGCCGGTTGTGGACTTCGAGGTGTGCAAGGCGGGCTATCGGGACCTGGGTGCGGAGATCAAGCATGATTTCATCCTGACGGAGAACATGATCTGCGCTGGGATCCCCCAGGGAGGTAAGGACACCTGTCATGGAGACAGTGGGGGGCCCTTTGCCTTTTATGATGATGGGAAGAACAGCTGGTACATTGGTGGCATTGTGTCCTGGGGGTACGAGTGTGCAAAGGCAGGTCAGTACGGAGTGTACACCAAAGTGACCAACTACGTCTCCTGGATCAACGATGTCATTTCAAGCAACCGTTGACCCAAACGCTCTGCTCACCAGCACACAAACCACATACTGAGGAAGTGTTGCTGAGTTCATGTCCACAATGCAGCTAGTGCATGCATCTGTGACCTAAATTTCCTTAAACTTCCTTGTATTTCAAAATGACAATGAGGATAAAAACATTTATACTGTACCTATGAATACTGTCTTTGAAATTGTGAGTAATAATATTGGAATTTAAAGAGTGATATTGTACACCTTATGTTATTTTAATAAGAGATAATACAATATGCTTACATGGATTATATACCAACAACTTCAGTTTATATGATAATGTCAGCTGGTGCTAAGTTAAAAGCAGATCATCAAAGATACCTGTAGGACAAATCCATTCACTGAGACTTAGTCAGTGAGCTTTCTCCAGCAGCAATGTGAAACAGACATGCATCTGTCTGTTAGAAAATCAGATGAATAGGTTTGTGGCTCTGGCACATATAAAGTGCGCTGGCTTCAGAGGATGTGCAGCATTAAGTCATTCTTTTGCCTTGCAAATAAATGCTCAGTTAACTATCTGGAATCTTGCAGATGGTTCCTTTGGGTCGTTAAATGCGCAGAGTGAATGGGTCATTTGTCTTTGTGTTGCAAACGTTTTTTTTCCTGTTGCATGTAAATTTGCACAAGCGATTCCAACGTCCCACAAGGTGTTATTCTCACATCTCAAATGAAAATCAGCCGTGTCTGTTCTTCAGGTTCAGCACCGTGATTTGCCATAATTTAGCCTTCATACATAATGCATTTGATCTCAGTGCTCCCTGGCAGTTTCCTTTGAAAACAGCCATTAAAGGTTTCACCATTTTGACACATATTATCTTTCCTCTGTGATTAAATAATACAGTCACACACAAATATTTTTGTGCCCTCATCTTTTCTAAGTGCACCGTACCGTTCTCAAACAGACTAAATCAAAACAGAGAAACAAGCCGCCTTGCTGCCTTTTTTAAATATACGAATTTCAGGGACCAGGCTGACTTGCTGCTTGAAATGAGCTCCCTAAAGTCACTCTTCATGGCCTTTAAGATTCCTACATTGAGAAATGTATCACAATACTATCTAGCAACTAAAATGAGAACTAATTCCAGTGGTTCTTGTCTGAATTAATGACAGCAACACAGTACATACAGTAGTAATGTCACAATAAAATACGGTGTCGAAATGGTTTGAGTTCAGAAAATTCTGCAGAACTACAAAAAGAGTTTGAAACCTGTGTTTGGTGAGTATAATTTATACGTCTTTGAATGAAAGTCAAAGGATTAACATTTTTTAAATCTATGTATCATAAACATAAAATGAAATTCAACTTGTATAATATGAATAGTCATTTCACATAGAAGTATATTGCACTGCTGAGTTTTATTTTTTAAAATTTATTCTTTTAGATGCCATGCTATGGTCAGTCTGTTTTTTTCCTGTATTGTCATGTCCAGTTGATTATGTGTAACTTGCACACTGACAGAACAAATTATTGTAGCACCAAATCACCAGCAGTCAGAAGTAGAGAGCCAGAGGTTTTTTTTTTCCAGGTAAAAACCTCTCACTAATTTGTAACAATCACCGCCTCATCAAGAGAAAAGAAAGGGATGTCAGATTTCTCTTTTCTGTCAGTTCGTTTCGCAACACACAGCTTAGGCAGAACATCAGACAGTATTATCATGCAGCTTTTGATATTGGTGTTATTCAGCAAAATTGAAGTCAAGCCAATGTAGGTCCTGACAGCTCTGATACATCCAATACATGTTGGCTAATCAATAAATAATTTTAGGGCATCTACAGGCAAGTATGAGTAAAATTTGCTCATTGTAAATATGGAAAAGAGGGATCTCTTAAAATATGCATTTTATTCAGTTCTGTTTTTTAAGCTTGAAATGGTTTTCATTTAATAGCAAATATTGATTGCATACAAATGTGAAAAGGAAGTAAATTTACTTTGTATTCGCAGTAACTGTAGGAGAACAGAAGACACTGAAAGTAGGGAATATAACTCAAGGTTTAACCCTACTGTGAGAAATGAATAGATGTTTGATTAAATGCACTAATTCTGCTTGTAATTATCATGTTTGTAATCATATAAATACTATATATATGCCTTCTACAACAAGGCTTCAGAAACGCATTTCCACACAAATTAAGTGTACTGTAGATGAAGGCAAAAACAGTACAAACTGTCCACTAAACAGTCACGGTTAGGATATCTCAAAAAATACATCTTAAAATGCACTAATCTGAAAGGCTTTTTTGTTTCAAAGGATTCAGTCCTGTTGAGAATATCGCTTCTGGTGCCTGCTGCATTTACAAACACATTCTGGATCGAAATAAAAAAATACATTTAAAGCCCCCCTAAGTGCTGTCCAGGAGGAATTAAATAAAACAAACAGCAGATGTTGTCCCTTGTTGATTCAGTTAATCCAGCTTGGTTTGATTCAGTCCTGCTACAAATCTACTATATGTTGTTTTTAGCTGTCATAGTTATTAATGCGCTTAATTTACAGAACACGTGTGATTTGTCACACAAGCTTTTTGCTGATAAGCACCAATTATGTGGTACTTCCCCCCCCCAAAACACGGAATGTTTACTCTTGGCCTGTTTATTTGAATGGCTTTTAAGATTGTATACTGCTTGGACAACCAACTGTTTTTATTAGGGCTAATTGTAGAAATGAAATCAAGGGATGTTAAATTTATATTACACACGAGAAGGGCCTCATGTGTATTGCGTACAATTTTGGTTGCCACATTGTAGAACAGATTGCTGCTCTGAAATCAGTCCTGAGAGGAGAAAGCAGATACATTTCAGGACTGAAGGGAATGTCCCATGCTGGACCTTTTTACTCTTGCGCAGAGGGGATTATGAAAGGACAGGATACAAGCATTCAAAATTTTCAATGGTACTGATAAAGTAAACCCCTGTCAGCAGTGAAACACAAACTAGAGAGCAGACATGGAAACTACATGGAAGAGTATTTAAAAGAGATCCTACTTTACCCAGAGGGTAGTGGGAGTGTGGAACAGCTGATACTCGGGCTTCTTTAAAAAAAAAACAGTTGGATAAGATCCTAATCAATTAATTACTAGCTATCAAATACTATAGATAGGTCATATGGCCTCCTCTTGTCTGTGACCTTTCTTATGTTCTAGAGATATGACCCAAGCAAACACTTGAAACCTTTTCTCTTTTTTTTTTCAGGCTGTTACATGCGTTTACAAAAGTAATTTTAAAATGTTCTGACCTGAAAATACATAGTATAAAAAACTACCCGGTGACATACTACCCGCAAGAGACCCTGTTTAAGAACTGACGAGATTTTAGATGGTAACTATTAATCCAGAACACTGCATCAGCGTGACAGATGACAAATTATTTTTTTTCCCCTAATTCTCTTACAGCACGTATGTGAAAGCAGTAACCCTTGTTATAACCCGCAGACAAGACGAAGAGCCCAAAACACAATAGAAAAAAACTAAATAAAAACAACCAGAATGTATGAACGACAGCCGTAGAAACAGAAACTATTATTTTTGCAGCAACTACACCAAGTGTGGCTTATAAATGTATCAATGCCATTCAAGGTGAAAACCGTAGGCAATACTTAAGCAGTTCATCACCACGGGCTTAAGTTAAAGCTCTTCGTTATAAACGAATCTTTAATTAAGACCAGTTAGGCGATTTCTGATTCCTAGCATTATTGGGGATACGATGATGAACAATGCCTCGCGTTTCAGCCTGACACCCCCAAATTCGCCTCCTTGACTTAAGGCGAGCAATGAGACAGTACATGCCGCTTTCTTGGCTAGGTGTGCTTCTGAAGAGGCGGTTACAGAAGGTGGCTCTGGGCGTTGTTATTTTTAGGACGTATTCTTATTTTCGCTATCTAAACACTGTACCAGCGAGAACACCGTGGACGTCACTGCTACCGAATGAGGAACTGAAAAGTCTCGATTCGTCGGTTAACGGTAATTGACATGGGATGGTCGTTCACTATAGGCGCCGTTGGTTTCCACATGTGCCAATCTTCCCACCATTTAAAAGAGTCGAACATAAATAACCGGGGATTAACAGCAGTTCTTTCAAATTCTTCATAATACAATACAGTGAAAGATATTTCTCAAAATGCCTTTTTGCCCGTTGGCTACAACCCAGTTTATTTTTTTTTTACCAACGGTCAATTTCTTTTGGACCCTCTAAATTAAAACGTCATTTGTGATGTCAGTATAGTGCCTCACTGAACAAACGTGCTGTTTTGTGATGAAAGCGAAAGAAAAAAAAACAAGGACTGCATCATTCCTCTATGCATGAAACGGTCAACTATCAGCTCGCCCTGACGCACTGCTTTGACACCAAAATGTTTTGAAAATATGACATGTTTGCGACGTCCTTCGCGACTGATCTTGAATAGCGAGAACCCGATACGGGCGAGGCTGGGCATTAATACAAAAATAAATACATCTGATGAGTGTGGTAACAGTTCATTATTCAATCGTTTACACTCCTTAATTAAAGGACCGAAATCTCAGCGTAGCTTAAAGCTGCGACCTTGCTTGCAGTGGGGTTATCCTCCATTGGCGACACGGCTCAACGCTTGTTAACAAACTTCCCAAGGACTTTAACTCATTTCAGTTTCCCCTCGGGCCGTCAGATCAGGCAGACGCTGGACCGGGCTGTCTTTCAACATGTTTCCATCGATCCGTCAGGATTGATCTTCTACCACGCCGATACCACTTGCAGCCTTGACACGCACCCTGTAAAGGTTCAAGATGCGTTGCTCTTTAATTCGCCCGCCGTCAAAGTGTAAGCAGCGCTGAATCATAAGTTTTTGTAGTAGCCTTGCGAGTTGTGGAGACAAATACACTGATTTATTCTCGTCCTACAAGCCGCCGTTCTCCCCCTTCCTTATTTTCCAGGTTACCACAAAGAATAATGAATCATGTACCAAGTCCACCGCAGCCCCTGTTTGATAAATTCAACACACACACCCACGGTAGTTTCTTTCACACTCTTGGGAACGAAATCACACGAGGTTGCCTTGTCCCGCCGTTATGGTTGAGTGACAAAAACGCAGAGTCATGTTTTTCCATGGGGGGCTGGGGAGGAATTTAAAGTAATTTCATATTTGATCCACTCCGTGGCGGATTGAGGTGATCAGTAGCCCCTCAGCTACACGTTGTGTAGGTTGTCGTAGCACTCCGCAACTCGGGATCGGGCGGGGGTCTGGCTCAGCAAACTTGAAATCGGGCCAATCTGGGGATCTTTTTAAGTAGATCCTGCTCACACTGCTCTTTAAAACGCAACCAATATCATATTTTCTGTCGCGCATTTTGAGGCTGGCTGCCGTACACTTGCCCCAGATTATCACCCGATGCATCCACCAAAATAAATTTGAAGTGCGGACCCGTTGCATCCAACCAATCATTGGTGCACACATTATCATGGACCCATGGGGGCCCACAGGGCCAATCAGGGGCTACAGCCTGTGCTGGCCTGTCCGTTAATCCGCCCTCATCTCCTGCCAGTCGGTGTCCATGGAGGAACTGCTGTCGAAAGGCCTGCATCAGGGGGATCATCCTCACCGTACCTGCCTAATTTAAGGTCAGTAGTTTTTGGAGGTAAGATGAAAAGGGGGGAATTGGAGAGTAACCAAACACTCTCCGCACTGTTTTTTACTCATGAAATATAACATAAAATATGCATAGTTTGCTTAGCATAAAAAACCTTGAATGGATACAGGTTTTGTAGTTGAAGAATTTCTCTCCTCCTGGGACGGTACAAAACGGGCGTGGTCACATCGTTAGCATCGCCTGACACTTTTAAGTACCGGAAACCAGGTTTTCTTGCCAAGGGGTGAAAAAATGGCAATGAAATCTTATAATCAATACTTATATATTAGATCATACGTGTATTACAAGGCCCAGACTCAGTGTTCTAGTGAAGTAAATAACCAGAGTCCGCAATATCTGAAAAATGGACAAGACCTCAGTTGTTTTCACAAAATAGCTGCTATTAGAACTAATGAGGACTGACTGTAGTGAGCAGCCTAATGAGACTCTTTAGAAATAACCACAGCAGTAAAACAAGACTGTTTATATATATAACATACACAATATTTTAGCTGGGGCACTAATGTTTTCCTGTACTGTATAATTAAATAAAATCAATTTAAAAATAAATATAAATTCTAAGTGTTAGAGCTACTAATACACTTAATAATAAATATTAAGTGTCTGAATGGTGTGCCTATATTAAAAAGTGCAGGAAGTGACTGTCGGATATAAACCAGTAAGCTGGAAAATTCTTCAGTTTTAATCAATGTGAAGTTTCCACAGTAGAAAAAATGATAGGAAAAAAGATCAGCTTTGATGTTTGATGACTTTATTTTTGCACGCAAGTGTGGTGCCACTTGGCATTGATCCTGGTACAAACATTCTCAGATTGTAGCAAGTAAAAAAGAAAATCAATCTGTTCTTGTTATACAAACCCTGGTTACTCAGCCCCTCTAAGTGTGGAAGAACCGACACAAATATATCATTATGAAAAAATTAAAGAGAATGACTCAGTATAAAAACAGTGTATTACGTGGTCAGTTTTAGCAGGTTTCTTGTTCCTCTCATCCCTAATTTAAAATGGAACATTCTTCTTAGTAAAAGCCTGGTAAACATCCTACACCGTGTTTCTCTGTACCGGTTGAACCGCAGTGAGTCTTTAATGAGGGTAATATCTGACTTGCTACAGGGTGAGATTTGGCATTTGTGTACGACCACAGCACTAGACATAATAAGGCAATTCCCAAAACAAAAACACTCTTTTTTTCCCCCCATGAACATGTCAAGATTACAGAAATGGTTGCCCAATAATCAGATAGGCAATGGAGGCAACAGGTCAGGGAAATCCTATTATGATACATGCAATTCTGAAAGGTCTGACAATCCTCTCACGGGTAGTTACAATGGCAAAGGAGGATATATTTAACAATAATATGCCAAGATACAACTATGGGTTTTTAAACATTTAAAACCCATTGATCAGCAAGTGATCAACTATAAGGAAAGCAACAGGCAAGCCTTCTTATAAGATCATGGCTCATTCCGGTCACGCAGTGTTTTCTTGGCATTTGTCTTTTAAAGTAAGGTGTCGCATGGAGTCTTTCCCTAAGAGGAGCAGGCTATAAGAACACATCTATCAGCCTCAAGGGAAATCGTGTGTAGGTAGAAGCCAGCTAAAACTATTTTCATTGGAGGGTTTTGGAGCTAATGTCATTGTACTAGACTACAAGGGTGGGCTTCAAAGCCTGCATATCTAGAGGTGGGGGGCAGGTGGGACCTGGTTTTTGTTCCAAATGGGGAATATTTCTTCCTCAGTCTAAATCGTGAGGTAAAGCAGAGGCCTACAGGAACATATTTCATGAGGCGTTTACATTATATCCCTCACAAATGAAACTCGTAAAGACAGAAAAAGTAAACAGTCACTCCTGTATGTTTCTGGCCCAGGGCCTGAAGCTCTTTGTTGGCTGTAAGGCTTGTGAAATTATGAGACATGTCCCCACCAGCCTGTCTCCTGAGTGGCAGCAGCCCTGAGGGGCAGGTTACTACCATAACAAGGCCTGCTGTCAAGAGCCTCCTGCTCAAAGGGGATTATGGGTATAATAAGGGACTATTTCTGGCGCTTAGCCTTAGTCTCTCCATTCTCCTCCTCTGCCATGGGCCTCTGGGACAGGGAGCTGAGGGAGTGCATGGCCGACACCTTCTCCAGACGTTTCTTCATCTCATCCTCACAGGCCTGCAGGACGTTCTCTGCCTTCTCCATATCCCAGCCCAGGACATCGGACATTGTCCGAGCCCCTTCGTTGATCAGCAGCTGCAAACAACGAGCAAAAAACTGAAGTCAAGCCTGACTTGAAAAGTGTGAGATCTAAATCTTATCTTAAAATCCAACTGAACTGGCTTAATACTTATATACACTTACAGATTTTTTTTAAGTAGCAAAGGAAGAGTTTACCGGTAATTAATAAGTTTTTGTTACTTAAAACTAACAAAGAGACAGATGTTCATGTCAGATCATGAATAGAATTCCTCAGATTTCCTACTTGCTAGACATCTTAATGCTTGATAGATGTTTGTTTATTTTTAAAGCCTGTCTATTCCTGTTAACACATTTTGCCCCCAGTTTGGACGTATGGAATACAGTTATAAAAATCACAGAGAAATTAGGCGCCGCCTTGTGGAGGAAATGTAGATCTACATCAGAGTCAAATTGCATAGACAGTAGTATAGAAATGTGTTTTTACTTGCATCTGTTCCTAAAATACAGTTCCTTGTATGCATCACATTATTCAAAAGCAGTTGTATGCATATATTCTGAACTGCTAACGGTATTTATATTTAACAATATTCACCGCTTTTACAACCATTGCCCAAATGAAATTGTTCTATGTGTAAGTTTAATTTAGGATATGGTGTATGTTTTATCTATGAAAGAACATAAACATAAAATGTGGACAACTGTTGGCCTTCCTGGTTTGAAGGCACAGAGTGGCCAGAAGGAAAAATGTTTTAAAGGACATCACTTGATTTCCAGAGGGACACTCCCCTTATAGTAACCCTTCCTGGAGGACTTGATACCTTATGCAGACCTACATAAGCACTCAGACCCATACCGAGAGAGCAGCACGTCATACAGAAATGGTAGTAAAAGAGTAAAGGTTTGAGTAACAATGTGTTTTTTTAAATACCCAACTGGAAACAATAGTAATAGTTATTGGACATATACTGTATGCACACAGTATTGCACAGCAGTCTGGCACATCCTCTGCCTTTTCATGTGTTGCATGTCTTGAAAGTACGAGTTTCCCCAGTCCGGGCTGCTGGCAAAATACCTGCAGTTCTTGGTTGGAAAGTCTGGTCTCAGGGCTGGTCTTCCCCTTCAGTACCATAAGCGTCCTCTGACTGAATTTGGAAGCACCTCTGCCGGCTGCGTCCACCTCCATCTCCTTTCCATCCGTAACATCCTGGCCTGCAAAACGTTCCCACGTCGATTTATTTTTCAGCTAGACAAACTGCCAACGTGTTAATCTTCTAATGCAGGAGGTTTACTGCCTTAACGGCTTGAGACAAAACCACTGACACAATGCAGGGCCGAACAGCCCTAGACAGTTTAGAACATGCTGCTGGCTGCTGGCTAATCGAATAGTGTGCTTACCATACTACACTCCATACAGGCCTCGAAGTCTGGAATCCTCCTCTAAAACAGTGTTTTGTCTGTGTTTTTATATTGTAAGAAAAGAAAAAGCTTGAGACCAAATCAGGTCAGGACTAAGGAGAATTTCTAACTTGTCATTCTGGTCTGAACAAATGTGGCTTCTGTGTTAAAATGTCAGGCGTCTTAGTATCAGCATCTACGCGGAGATGTTTGGGAACTCTGGCACGTAGTCTTGAAATGCTTCCAAATCAAAGTTTTTGTTGAGCCGTACAGGATTTCTTTCCACCAGTGACCTGCCTGCCCTGGGGGGTAATGGAGGTCGCTTCTAACCACAAATGGCTTTCTGAAAAAACACACGCTTTTGTGAGCAAAGCGGAGCTGTTTCTGTGGACAATAAGCAGTGCGCAGGAGCCGCTTAGCAGGGACAGTGTAGAGGATATTTGATTTGGTGCCAGATGCAGAGATCAGGTTTAACAGTGGGCTCGCATCTGAAGCTGCTCAGTGTTTCTAAGACACATGTCTGTAAAGCATAATTATGCTGGGCAGTAGAAATACAGATTTTTGATTTTTTCATACATGACAGAGGACCACAATAAAAAGGTGCTCTTTGACCTCTTCATCTCCCATTGAAAGGCTGTATTTTAAATTGTCTCGGATGGCCTGGATTAGGAAAAAAGAGCAGATTGCCGACAGCATTTAAGGTGCCTGAGGCTCCAGCTCCACCTAGTGGACTTGTTGCAGCACGTTTCAGTTCAGAGTGTCACATAAGCATTAGCAGCTGCAGAGCCTGAAGTGACCGGTTTCGCTTTCAGCCAAACGTCTCCTAACCTTCACCTTTTACGTACATGGGACTTCAGTTGGGCCCATTGAGATCTACCCTCTCCGGGATGTCAGCTGTTCCTGGTTTGTGTTCCAAAGGAGCTGCCAGTTCCAGCACTAAACCAGCCCAAAATATCTGAACATTTCACCGTAGGATTCAGAATATTTTACACTCCTCCTTTGTTCAAACATACTTTGTCAGCTAATAGAATGCCAGCCCCCTCCCGCTCCCTTCTTTCAAAATAAAAACCTGGAAAAAAAGGAACTGTTACCTGGGACCTCGATCCTGGCGCCACGCGGCCCTGCTGTCTCACCTGCCCGGCTCTCGCCCTGCGCTGCCCTCAGGTAGAGCTGGAGCAGCTCCTTGGCCTGGCGCTCCTCCTGCCTGCGGTCCAGCACGCCCTGCAGGGTGTCCTGAAGAGCCCGGGTCCTGGCCTCCTCGTAGCCCAGCGCGGCCGCCAGCGTCCCACAGGGCGCGTCAGCCAGGCCCTGCAAGAGGCGCCATCCCTCAGTGCACGGCCAGTGCCAGGGGCCCTGCTGCTGCCCGCTGCGCGGCACGCGGCCCCCGGCACCTCCGGCTCGCGTTACTGCGGCGCACTGCATCGGGACCCTCACACCCCGCCTCCCCGAATTCAGGCCCCGCGCGAGCAGGCCGGCGCGGGTCTGAGGGATGGCGGGCGGCGCGAGAGCAGGCGGCCGGTACCTGGAGGTCGGCCTCGGACATCAGCACGATGGCGGACAGGTCCTGCTGCAGCCTCCGGGCCGGCTCCTGCCAGCCCTCTGCGCCCGGGACGGCGCGGTCCACCTCGTCGGCCTCCCCCCCCACGCCGAGCCAGGCTGTGCCCCCGTCAACTGCGAGGAGGACGGAGAGCTGGTAAGAGCACCCTGTCCACACGGGTCGGGCCTGTGTCCCGCTGCCGACAGCAACACTGACCTCTGTGCGGCTTGGAACTGAAGGGGAGAAGTCTACAACCCAGCAGGCACAGTTCAGAGACCCTTCTTACATCCCTCTGTTGCCCTGAAGCTGAAACTCTTACCCCAGTGACAGAGCTCTAACACCACCCTGGCGAGTGAGAAAAAGCCTTCTGGAACTATAGGGGTCACTAGGACCCTCTTTTCTGGGGTCTGCTGTTTCTCAACCTCCCCCTCCTCTCCGGTCTCTGCCTGCCTCCTCGCTGCAGCGCCTGGGTCAGCGCCTGTTGATGGGCGTGGGGTTCGGACAGGTTCCCTCAGACGGGCCGGCCTGAAGGAGCTCCTGCTCGCCCCAGGGCAGCCTCATGAGGTGATGGCGCCCGGCGGGGGTTCGAGGGCCGTTGCTCTGGCTGGCCTCTTCACGCTGGCAGAACGGAGGGCCGTTACCAAGAGAACACAATTCCTTCCACCTCGAGGAGCTTTCAGTCAATTACCACTGCCGAAGTCACAGCAGTTCAGAAACACATTTCCTGTACGGAATGTGCTCATGGCAGAGAGCGAAGGAATCAGCTCACTTTGTACCATATTGTAATGCCTCAGAGGGAGGTAATGTGCTTTATCTTGGGAACTGCTTCTTGATTAACTTGTCACTCAGACGCTTTCAAAGTTGGATGTAAATTGAAATTCGTACCTCGTACCTCCAGACGATACCATACTCCCACTCTCCTTTGATGTGATTATGGGATGTATTCTACAGTTCTTTTTTGACATTTCCAAAAAAAGCCAGTAGGGGTCTGTATGGTGTAGACGCTCAAAGGTCGTTTTATGATCATGTTCCCTTGCTCTCCAAAAGCCAGGTGGGATCTTTTTCCCCCATTAGTGGTCACCCTAAATGCTCCTGAGCTGGGGGGAGAGCCCTGAAACCCTAAAATCACCTTGTAGGTTTATCAGGTCAACTCTCTGAAGCTGAGCAAGGCTGGGCCTGGGCAGAAAAGGGGGTGGGACACCTCTAAGGGTAAATCTCTGCTGCAAATGCTGCTGCCGGACCAGTAGGTGGTGCCCCTTCTTCCTTCTACAGTAGGAGCTGCTGTCCTTTGGATGAGGTTTTGACTCATTAAATCATTAAAGATCCTAAGGCACTGTTTCTAAGACTAGGGGTGTTAATCCTGGGGCCCTGGCTAAATTCCACTCTGTGCCTTAACGATCTGCACACCCTGAACTGGCCCTATAATTCATTCAGGGAGGCAGCTTTTCTTTTCTTTACATCTGCTGTGTAGATGGGCTGCCGCCACATAGCAGCTGACACCAGGACTTTGGATTTGTGAAACACAAACCCCAACTTTTCGTGAGCATTGCATTGTAGAAGAGGAACAATAAAAATACACTAACAGTGTAAGGAAAAGTTGTATAATTTCATTGCAGCCACTAGAGATTAATCTCACGTACACACTCACACTAACCACAACAAGAATACTTTTGCCATCTGTAGTTTTCCAGATTTGACAGATGTGAAATATTCCCTTGGTTGTCTCATAGCCCTTCAGCCACATTTTAAGCATGTCACACAGTTCAGGATTAAGGTTTGTCTTGCTTGTATGGTTTAGAATACAAGTCTCAATTGTGTTTTTTTTTAAGTTCTTTCTTTTTTATTGCTTAGGCTTTAACTTCCCTGATCAATGCAGAAAATACAAATCCAGTGGTGATAACTTTATCCTTGTCTGATCTTGCAAATGAGGAAACAACAAATGTCACCAAGGTGACACAGGCTCTATGTAAATTCTAGTTGTGTGGGTTCACTGTTCTCTAAAGGTACTGCAGAAAAAAATCAAATTTTTCTATCTTTTCATAAAACAGACAGGTTGTATCCCAAAAGTAATCTTTCGCATACTAAAACGCATCTTGGAGAGCAAACAATGAAGTACAGGCTTACCTTTAGTAATCGGGGCCCACCTCTCTTTGTCTTTCAGGAGCATGAACTTGGTGTTTGAGGGCAAGCACAGGAAATAGACTTCGTCTTCGACTATGGTCCCATCCTCCTCCAGAACCACTGAGACAAGATCTTCGGAGGTAAAGCCCAGCAACTCGGATCCTACCATACAAAACACAGAGGCAGCTGTTTTAATACCAGCATTATGGTGTGAAGCGAGTAAGAGCTGTCACTTATATTTCACTTTTAGATCTGTTCCCAAAGCAGACTGATGACGTCATCAAAGAAGACAGCAGTAGAAACGTTCCCTCCCACACCGCTTTATTGGCGGTGGCCTGAAAAGAGGCTGTGATCGTTCTCTCTCTTGCCATCTTGCCCAAATCCCAATGCGAGATAAAATCCCACATGCTTCCTGATTGTTCTTTAACTTTCCTATTGGTACAACCCACTTAGAATTCCCTATAATCTCAATAAACTGTGCCCCTTACATTGGTCAACTCTGGAATACTGACGCATCAAGAGATGGCCACTGTTTGACACAATTTTCTACTTTTTTTTTTCTATTTTTCACACTTTTTTCTACTCTTAACTCAGACATTGGAATACCTGTATAGACATCTGAGCGCTCATTTTAGGCATGCGTTTCAGTACTCCAAGGGGTTAGATGTCAGTGGGGTGATGTCATGAGTCTGTGAGCTTAAACCTGCTCTGTAGGAATGCTGTTTGGCTCCTGTACTGCTCCAGCATATTTGGAATGACTCCAAGACTTGAAAAAAACACACACCTGAGAGCGCTTGCAAAGAGTTGTATGTTTTGGTTTGTTGGTTTCAGGTTTTATGAGGCCTGGAGTAGCTAACGAAGAGCAGCCTAATTGTGAAGGGCCACACAGGCTCTCTGGGCTCTGCACCATGAGCCTGGTTTTCTTCAACTTTGTCAAGATCTTCATTTCCTTGATCCCAGTCAGGAACACGATTCCTTCTGTATAACTTGGTGAACCTCAGTTAGTGGTGCTTTCTTTAGATGGTGGGCTAATTTCTAGCCTTTGAAACACGCCCAACACAAAACTGCACTCAGAAAATCCAGGTCGTTTTATTTAAGGATTTAAAATAATTATTTACAGTACCATAAAAGCAAATTTGAATCACAAGGACTACCATTTCCTATATCTGCCTTCTTTCACTACAGAAAGAAAGCCTTAAGACCCCCCTGTAAATTGTGTGAATCTAAACGATAGAATGATGATAATCTTGATTTCTATTATTAAGGAAAATATGTCTTCACTACCAGACATTAACGAGGTGGCTTTGCAGAACCCGCTAGTGAGATTTCTTGTAGAAACTGACAAACTGAAAGTCTTGCGTTGGAGATAAGACGCCAAACCACACCTCGTGTGTTTTTCTTCAGACGGATCAGGGAAAGCAGACAGTAAAATGTAATTACTCTCTTCATTAAAATCCTCTGTGTCATATTCATCAACAGCAAGTCTCTGCACGATAAACTGAAGAGCTTGCTTCACAGTATAGTGCAGAGTGCTGAAATCGCAAAGGCAGTCTCTCTAAATCACTCGCACGCAACAAGACTGCGCAATGTGCACAAAGTGACAGTTCAATCATACAGCTTCACTTTGTCATTTTCTAAAAAGGTCCGCGTCCGTTTTCCCACATCTCAATTAAGCATGAACTCTTAGGGGAACTGCAGGGTAGCCGATTAAACAGAGATCTCTGTCCCAGCTCTCTATATTTTGGACATTGAAATCATTCACCTAACCTCCTCATATTGAACAATAACAACGATCATAACCTTACCTTTTATCTTCAGCTGGTCCAAAGACTGGACCGCTATTCCGTACGACTTTTTACGCGAGTAGTTACAAACTCTGCAAGGTTTCGGATCTGACATTGCTGCCAGAAAACCAGTTTATAATTTTGAAGAAAATCGTGTATAAACGCAAACTTGCGCAAACTTCCAACGCTTAAGACTATTAAATAAGGGCGACAAAAAGGAGTCCGGATTGAGCTCCGTCTCATAACATTTTATGTTATGCTGAGGAATTCACTTTCAACATCTTGAAAGAATACGCGTACAGTATACATTAAGGAAATAAAGAGTAGTAGTCTTGGGAACTGTAGTGTTGCTGTAGTGGCGGTTGTGCGTTATTAAACTACAATTCCCAGCATGCAATTGTTCCTTAAGGGTTCATTTGTGATCTAAGGTGATGTTTATTATTTATACAAGAAAAGAAACAATGAATCATATGTATTTAGTTTTTGTAACTTTGTTTCAATAAATGTTTTTGATTCGCTTTGGCCTGGAACGGGCAAAAGCACTTATTATCGATATCGTTGCCACATTATGTTATTTCTATTTAATTGCACGCTGTTTTTTCCTTCATTGCTTTGATTTCTGTGCCACAGTATTGTACACCTCTTGTCTAGTTCGTTAGTGTAAACGAGAATCTTTTCTTAACTGTCCTATCTGAATAAAGGTTGTTCTTACTATTATAATAAATATGACACTCGTCTGAAAAACTCGGGATCTGTCGCTCGACTGTCGATTACTCCAGCCTGATGCAGGCCAGTGCAGTCGAGTAGGAGATGGGTTTGCACAGGCTGGAAAGATGGCATCTTCAGAGCAAGCTGACCAGCAGTCACAGGTAAGGATTTTAGCGCTTTCTTAAGCGTTATCCGGCGCATGCATACGCGCCTTTCGTTTTTACTTGTTTAGCGGAGATTAGAGATTCTCCCTGAGGAATACTCGAGACTTTGCCCTGTGTCTTTGCTTGTAAAAAAGTAGAAAATCTCCTGCTGTTTCCTCTCTTGACTGACAGGTGCAGGCCATGTACTATAAACACGAGTTATTCGACTTTTTCCTTACTGGTCCTCGCCGACTTAAATACTTTTGCAAAGCTGTTAAAAGGCAGTGCAGGAACGACTGTTCTTGATTTGCCTACCGTGAAGTCCTTCAAGATGCAAAGTTAGTCACTGGGGAAGGTGCTTAAAATACTGTATTGCGGCGGTGCTCCCACCAGCGTGGACATTGCTCTGGTGTCGTGTTCATGTCCTCCGCAGCCCAGGCAGCTCACGGTCCTGTACCTTCAGTTCTCCGGTAGCATCTAATGACGTTGGCGGAATGTCCTGATGACATGATGAGTGTTATTTAGCTGGGTACGCTAATTGCTGGAAGTCTTGTGCCGTGAGCCTGACGTTCTGGATGATGGATGATGGATTTTGGGGACAGACAAGTCGGGACATGAACTGTCATCCGGCTACAGTATTGGATCCCCCGTTCTCAAGCCAAAGCGTTTTTTTTTCTCCCAACAGGCGTGTTACATTTTGTTAAAACCGAAATATGTCCCAAAAACATGTTCTACGGTGTGAGTTCTGTCATTGCAACTGAATATTGTTAATATGAGTTCGGATAAATCACTTTACAATTCTTTTTTTTTATTTTTGTGGTGGTTTTCTGTTAAGGAGTTCTACAAGCATAACAAAAGCCAACTACTCTCTATTCCTGAAGTCACAGACTCACAATTTTACTCTGTGTTACTATAATAAATTCTACTGTTTGTGCAGTAACTTGATATTCCATGAAATCTGTATAGCATACTGTACTGTTGTAACAAGTGCTACAACTAAATTGATTTTCTGAGTTGTTTTTTTTAGTGTATTAACATTCATTGATACCTAATTTGACTATTGCTTTAAGATCAGGCATTTATATTGATTATTCCTTCTCACAAAATCTCATTTGTTTGGAATTGAATTATTGTCAGGGGGATGCAGAGTACTTGTAACATTTTAATTTCATGTTTGTAATATTTTAATTTTTGATTTCAGTCTCATTTTCATTTTATGTTTATTACAGTTGATTTCTGAGTGCAGAATGACACAAATGTTATGATAGATAAAAAGGCCAGAAGAAAGCATAAGACTGGATTTTGTACTGGCGTAAGTTAGCTCTTCAGCTGAACAAAGGTTGCATTTGAATGATTTGTTTCAGGGGGTTTTGCTTTCAAAACTCTCAGGAAAATGTTGAACTTTGTCCTCTTGAAAAGCTATGTGGAGGTCTGTCAAGAGCATGCTGTAACTTTAAGGTTAAGAACCTAAGGTTCAAAGTGATTTAGTAGTAATCTTTGCTTAAGAATGGAATAGAGAACTATCTTTCACTGGCTTATTTTTATTGTTGTCTCAGACAACCTTGCTGAAAACATAATATTCAGCAACGAAAAAGTGTTGAATCATGAATACTGATGGATTAGTGGGTTTGTAGGCCAGACCTCATATAGTCCGAGCTCATATTTAAATCAGCCTAATAGGAAACAGAAAAATGGAATCAGTTATCTTTCTTGCCAAGTTGTCCCAGTGTTAATAAAGATGAGTAATTATAGTTGCTTAAACTAGCAGCTTACGAACAAGATGAGGTTAGCTAAGTCTTGTTCTTGTTTTGCAAGTTGTAATTCAAAGCAACATGTCAGACGTTGTGTTGGAATTTAATTAGCCATGTCTTTTGTCATTGCAATTTTGTCCAGGTCATTGCAGTTGCAATTCTAACTGTTTGCTGGTTCATCTGTCCATTTTTTAAACACGAATGCCAGTCCAGGGTCACGGGGGAGCCAGAGACTATCTGGACAAGCAACCGGCACAAGGCAGGGTACGTCCTGGATGAGACACCAGCCCATTGCAGGGCACACACTCACACCAGGACCAGTTTTCCCAGAAGCCAGTTAACTTACCTGTGTGTTTTCTGGACTGTGGGGGGAAACTGGAGCACCTGAAGGAAACCCACATGAACACGGGGGAACATGCAAACTCCACACGTATAGCCGCCCGGGACTCCAGTGCTTTGAGGCAGAAATGCTAACCACTGTGCCATTCACTGTTAGCTGAGGAACTTATTTGTTCTGAGTCACTCGGAACAGACCAAGTTCTTATATGTCTTATTTGAGGCTAGTATCTGAGCCTTCTTTTAAATATTTGTTAAACATACAGTGAGTTTTTCCCAGCTTATCAGCTGAACAGAGCAATAAACACCTGTAGCCTGAGGTTTAGAATATAGGTTCCTCAGGCCAGCACCAATAAACCCCAGCTTGGAGCCTTCTTAAGTTTCCATGACAACCACTTTCAGGGCAGGGTTCAAATCCAGGCCAACAGCCAGTTAAAAAGCACTTACTGACAGAAGGCATTCAGTACTCATGTAGCTGGACAGTTTGAGACCTGTAGCTCTGATGATTGATATTGTTATTAATTATTCAGTAATGGAGCATGAAATCAGTGCATAACAGCCTTTTGTATTTTTCTTTACCCTTTGTTTCCATTTTGCGTTTTCTGTCCTACTTTTAATTTATGACATGGCCCGTGAGAATTACCCCCCAGTTATTATGGCTTGAATCAAAAGGAGCACCTGCCTAACTCGAGAGGTTTTGTATCATGTATGTTTCTAGCAGTAATGGTCTTTCCAAATATCATCGTTTCTACCACTAGCGGGCTACAGGACCAGATTTTCAGGTTCATATCTGACACGAGGGAGATATTCCCTCTACCTTCCAATTAACTCTGATTATTTCTTGAGAAGGTCTGTCTAGGTGAAGGAATAAGTAATGAGGTGGAACCTGCTCAATTAAACAGTCTGAGAGCTAAATGAACTCTATCATTGCAGGCAGTATTAAATGAGTAAATGTGGTGTTTCTAGTAGTGGTACGGTCCATGTTTCCTTCTAGCTGATAAACCAAACATATGGTAAAAGTGTCTGCATGATTTTACATTTGGAACAGTGTGGCAAACGTCTTGGGTGTTTGCATTGTCCTGTTTCTTGACAAAATGAGGAGAGTGTGATACATTTGCTACTCTGTATGGTAGCTGCTATTGTTTTAAAACCTTTTGCACAAATAATTGTACATGCTGTTTTAAAATGTTCATACTCAAAAACCCATAAAGAACATTAAGTGAATACAGGGGGGTAGCTAATAAGACTTCCACTGCACACTCATGCGATTCATTTCAGATTTTACAAGCTGCAGGCACAGCTGCTGGATTTTTCATGCTCTTTATTTTGAGGAAACTGGCACGGATGGGCATGTGGAGCCAATGTTATATTTATCGCATGTTCACTTCAGAGGTGCAACTTGTTCATGACTTGGCAGGTCCTGTAAACCTGAAATGGATCGCATGTGATGCAGTGGGATTCTTAATTGTGTCAAAGAGCCTTTATGGTGATGTTTGCATGATTGCCACTCATAACGAGGCAATCTACTCATAACGAGGCATTTCTAGCTAATCTACTCTGCAGAGGTAAGCAGCGCTGGCAGCTAAATGAGAGAGCCAAAAGCAGGGAGAAAAGAAAGAATCAGAGAAATAAAGCAAGCTTCACTTACCTGTGATTGACTATCCTCAGACCTTATCTGGAACACTTCACATTTCATTGTGGCAACTGTTACTAGGCTGCTGCTCTTAATGAGGCCCTGGAGGCATTTTGTTCCCATTGCATTTCAAAACATCAGACAAATCACCTCTGTTTTATGCTGCAGGTAATAGGCTAAGTGTTACAAAGTCCTGGCTTGTACTGAATTGTAACAGCAAGACAGGTGGCCCGCTGTGAAAGCTATGGCTGTTCTGTTTAATCGGTTAATAGAGATATTGCAAGGGTGCCTTTGAGATCTGCACAGAAACACTGGTGTGTCTCAAACCTTCCCTTATTGTACACATGCAATCATATGAATATTAGTCATCATAATAAAAAGCTTAGTTAAAAACAAAGCGGTACGTTCACAGGGGTTTACTGATGATACCATAATTGGATTAGAAACATTGTTGAAGTGAAAAAGCAAAATCTATTTAATGACACTTTGTGTAGACAGGGTGCTGAGTATTTACATACAGGTAGCGAGAACTTTTTATCATTATAAGTTGCGAAACATCTTATAGAAAGTTCTTATGAGATACAGTTTTATGGAGTTTATGTTGGCATCTTTTACATGCAGGAGAAGCAACATTGGCAAACAGCGCTTGAATATTGTAACGGTAATATTGCTGCTTTCTCTGGAGCAGCACGACTAGAAGGACCTGCCCGAGGAAACCTGTGTTTTCCTGTTTTTTTTTCCTCTGTCCTCCCTTGTGATCCTAACTCTCACTTATTAATCTCCCTAGTTTGGATACCTTTTCTAACCCTGCGTATGGTTGGACTGTTGACCAGCAGAGATTATTTGGACGCAGGCTGTCAATAATAAAAATGAGACCATTTGCTCTGAGAGTCTGACATGGTAATCGTCCGCTCCGGTTTCCCTGTTATAGCCTGCAGGTCTTCTCTAGCGCTTTTTACAGAACGTCTTCTTTTGGTGCACCTGTGACGTTACCGTGTACAACCCCTGCTGCAGGTGCGCTCTGTTCGGTCTCACTTGGCTGTACAGTAAGGGAAGTCGTCTGTCCGCAGGTGCCAGCGATTCCCAGTATTCCCAGTGCGGAATGCTCAGGCTTCTCCGAGCCGCTCACCATTTCCAGCGCTCTGCTCTGCCTTCATCACTCCAGCCCCCTTTTGCTTCGTCACAATAAAAATAAAGTCGAAATCAAACAGTTGCCTGACAATCTTGCAGCTCTTTAATGAGACCTCACCTAGAAGGTACCATTACCACCTCGCAGAAAAGACATGGTGTTACTGCTCTAGAATCAGCCCAGAGAAGACCAGTACTAGCAGATACAGTACTTTCCTGTTCTGAAAGGAGTGTTCTATACCGACAGGATTAAAGAACTGAATCTTTTCAGTCCTGTACTGAAACCACTACAAGATGATGTAATTCAGACTTTCAGAAGCCTGCACTTTGAATGCTTGAATTGGGTCCTTTGACAAAGTCATCCAAATTGACAAACAGAGGACACAACCAGAAACGGGGAAGAGTGTGCAAAACAAAACTTTTGCAGACCAAACTTGTATTCTCTTGCTGTAAATTAAAACGTTCTGAAAAAATATGCACAGTGATATTTAAGAAATGTGTACGGAAGTCGGTGTCTACTTGTTCCTGCTAACTGTAGAGCTGTCACTATTACTTTGAGCATCACAAGAAAAATATAACTGTATAATGTGGGACTATTCTTGTCATGGTTTTTTGGGGTGTAGAGAACCTGCATTTCTTTCTCTTAAAGTATTCAGTTCTGCACACACAGGTGTTGTCCACGATATAAAATGTATTTTTGTCAGTAATGTGTATTAAGAATAGATTGAATTTAAATTGTGGTGAGTCAGATTGTTCTGCGAGGATAACTGAGTATGGTTCCTAATTCTAAAGTCATCAGTGGATTGTTTTGTTTTCATTGTAAGTCAAGAAAAATTGAAGTTCACTCTGACATAGTTTGTGATGTGTTACGTGAAAGCCTGGTAAACACATTTCAAGTCACAGATTGTAAGGTGGAGATGTAATATTCTGTGACCACTCCCTGTGTCCAGTAGGTGGAGCTCTAATTCAAGTCTTTTGTTTTCCAGACAGGCTCTTCTCAGGTCAAAGAGGATGCTCTTCCCAGAGAACAACTGGTAAGGCAATACTGCATGCACTGTACACAACGTACCAGGTAATAAACACTGTTTAAGGCCATGGAATATTGTTTATTTTTCCTGAAAACACACTTAAAAACACTTTTTGGTCTTGCAGCATCAAACCACTGCATACTGTATACCACATGTGCAGATAATACTGCATCTCTGTTGCATGCCTGGAATTTCACCCATGGTGTTCGAATTGGAGAGCTTTATTTTTTTTATTCCTTCAAGTAGCTGCTGTTTCTTTGCTTTCTGGTGACCAGATCTCTTGTAGCTGATTTTGTGTCAATAAGATTTGGGCTGGCTGAGTTCAGCGCCATGAGATTTTGCAAAAGCCCTAATGAAGATAATGCCCCCTTTTGACCAAATCACTTGAAATCAGCCTTTGGCTTTGCATTTATTGAGGCTTTTACTTCACACCTGTCTAGCACTTGTGAAGAATGGGATTTCACGTGGCTTAGAGCAGTTATCTAAGACTGTTCACTTACCTCATACCTGTCTTTTATAGAGGAAATTAACTTCTTAGATCTGCTAATCAATACAGAATGCACATGTAGAGGATTTTGCTAGGTCAGTTTGATTCTCTCATTGTTTTTTTAAAAGATTTCCAAATGAAATGGGACTGCTTTGGTGACTGAGTGAACATATTAAACCCGAAAGTGTTTTTGTACCGTTTTATAGCTGTCTGTCTGTGTCCTGTGTCCTCTGAGACCCATTGAAGGGGGTCGCTGCACGGTATCCCAGTTTCTCCTGGCCTTTCCCTGCGTGAGGAGCAGCTAATGTCTCCTCTTGTGGACCTTGCGTTTGCGTGGTTTGTTTTATAGGCTGTGCAGTCTGCAAAGGGACATATCCCTGGTGAAATAAGTGCTCTGCAGGCAGTAGCTTTTAATGGAGGCAATTAAGATGAGCTGGGTTATTATTCTAGATGCTGCGCACTCTGCTTTAGAGTGATGTCATGCCAAAACAGTGCTGTGGCGAAAAAAGCAACTACAGTGCTGTCCTAGATGGGGAAACAACCCAGAGCCAGCGGTGAGCAGGGGACAAGGTACTTCCAGCCTTCTCTCGCTTCAGTTTTCAGTTTTTTGTATAGTTTTGTTCCATTTTCTTCAGTGGATCAACAGATCATTACTTAGAGAGTAAGGTGATCCCTGCTTTTAATGACTAAAATCAGGTATTGGCTTAACCGGGCCAATTTAACAACATCTCCTACCCTTTCAGAGTTAATTGGCCCAAAAGTGAAAATATTTAGTTCACTAGTTAATGAAGAGCTAAGCCAGAATGAAAACTCACAGGCCCTTACACCCTCAGAACTCCTTTTTAAGGTGTTTCTTTTCTGTTTACATGTCTAGAAAATATACTGTAACTCACCTTTTGTGTTTCATTGGAGGACAGGGACAAGACATTAAACATTAAGGTTCATTTTCGAAACTGGGTGAAACACAAGTTTGTTCCCCCCTCCTCTCCCCTGTCAAAGAGATGCTCTTTTCCAGTTAAGTGGATTGTTACAGTACTGGATAATTCGTGTCACAAAGCATTATTTAGATGACGTGAATTATTTAAATTTGTGTCTGAAAGGATTTAGGATGCGTCAGGCGAATGGGGCTCTTGGCAGAGTTGCTGGGGTGTGCTCCTTGCCACCCAGCAGTGGTGCTGGGGACATGCGTGGCACTAACAGGGTTTGACTCACCTTACCACATGGCAGGGCCTCCTTTACTGCCCTCCGTCAGTGTCAGGCAGGGGATACTGTGTGCAGGCAAAAGTCTGGGCAGAAGCTGCCTCCTATCTGGCTTTCAGGACTTCAGGCTGAGTTTTGCTGGATGAAACACCAGTCGGTTTCTGTGCCCTAATTTAGCCTATTGCCTTTTTTCCCCCCTCTTCCTTTGTCTTTTTTTTTTATCTGTGGGGTCTCATAACTGTTAAAACAATCACCAGTTACCATGACATTGTTTGCTACTTAGAACTATGCCTGTTCCCGTCTACTTTTTTTTAAATCACACATGCATACTTTCTCAGCTCTCTATGTAATCGTGATGCTGACCAAATCCAGTTCTGTCCCTTTGTATGTCATTGGTGTTTCCTCTTGGGCAGTGGTGCAGCTGGCATAGCCACTTATTCTTAGACCAGTCTGAGCTGTGCGCTACCGGGTTCGAGCCTGGGTTATGTCACTAGTTATAGTCGGCTATGGTTGGGATTCCCAAAGTGGCAGTCCACAACTGTCACTGTGGATAGGGTTGGGATTGTTAGCCAAGGCCTTTTCACAGTTCCCAGCAAGACATGCTACATCCCGGGCTTTTGCGGGCAGCTGGTGATATTGGTGTGGGGCCTGAGCCGGCTGGACATCACTGCGGAGCTTGCGGTGTGTCCAGTGACAAATGGGTAGATCAGAGGAGCCTGTCTGAACCTCTTCGTTTCCCCTTGCGGGGTACTGCTGTTAGCCATAGAGACATAATGACACAGCTGTCAATACACTATATTCCAAATTGAGTGAGCATATAAAAATATTTGTGGATATTTGCTATGCTATACATCAGCCGTGATATTAAATTAATTAAATTTGTCTAATTTCACCAACTATAACGGGCTGTTTCACTTCAGTCTGGAGCTTTGAAATCCTAACACAAATAGACATATTTGGATCATTATAGTCCTCGACAGTAACTGGAGGGAACACTCAGCTAGTTAAGGAGTTTCGGTGTTGCAGGCTGGTATGTGCTCTAAGTTATTTTGAGTTTTCTTAATTTAAGAAAATACAGCTCATTTTTATCCGCATTCTGCCCTGCTCTGTTCTGGTGCTGGCCCTGCTTATGAGCGGTTGCTATATTCTTTCTTTTTGTTTTAGGATTTCAAAGCTTTTCATAAATAACTGGGTTATAATAACTGGGCCATTTTAAAAGAATTGAACTTTCTTTGTATTAAAAGCGGTTAGGGGAGGGCAGACATCCTGATGCCTAATTACTCAAAATTAAAAGCGTGACCCTCTTTGAAATCAAAGGACGTTGATGAAGGAAATGCCTTAAAAGGCTGCCCACAATTAGCTGGTTTCAGTTTTCACGTTTTCCTCCTCGTAGGCTTGTAGGACTGACCAGTGACATGCTTTCACAGGCCAGCTTGTGTTGGTCCGGGGACGTGAGGCATCGGTGTACCCCGCAAAGTGTGGGGGCTGCAGCTTTAAACCCCTGCCTCTGTGCTGGGGGGTGCACAGTGGTTTCGCCCCCCCCGTTGGTATCGGGGCCACGGTTCGCTTCGCTTGCTGAGCCTTTTGCACCGAAGCTCAAAAAAACATCAACGGCTTCCCCGCGAACAGAGTGCTGGAGGCGGGGGGTAAAAAAAACAGAAAAAGTTGTCAGAAGAACATCCCGGTCTCACAGCAACTTCAAAAGACCTCTTCCCCAGGATATTAAGCGACTGTGATGAAAAATTTAGCAAGCGTTAAATAAGAAGCTTTGAAGTGATCTGTTTTGGCTCAGCAGTCTCTAAATTTCCGGAGCCCCTCCGATGTCGCCATTGCACTGCGAGAGAGAGAGAGAGAGAAACGCAGGGACTGGGGGGCTGGCTGACGATGTGCCAGCATTAACATTACAGCCAGTGGCATCGGCCGGGAATTCTGCAGCGCTCTTTGTTTCTCTTGCCTCTTCATGCCTTTGCTTTCCTACCCCAACCCCCCCCCCCCTTGTCATGCCTTGACATCTGTTGCTCATATGCTAGATCTGAAAACAGAATTTCCTATTCAGTGGGGGCAGCGAAGCTGTGACAGCATGACAGAAAGACGAGGGGGTGTGGAGAGAGGCTTCAAACCCGGGCCTTCTGTGACCCGAGGAGCTTGTGTTGCGGGATTGGAGCTTGGCAACGTGCTTTTTGTCTTTTAATAAAAATGTTATTCCAGGTAAGGATGAAAAGAAGTAGACTCGTCCACAAAGCGCGAAATGCACGTAAAAGTCAAAACAAGAATTCAGTTCAGTCTTACTGTAACTTAAGAAACCTTGTGCAAAACATGCTGGGGTGGAAGAACCCTCTGGGAGTCAAGAGTCTCCGCTGGGGGATCCCCATAACCCTTCGACAGCATTTCTAGGAAAATTAGAGTGACTGGAAATTCTCGATGTTCTTAAAGGTGCCGTTCAAGTCACTCCCCTGTTTGATTTTCGTGTCGATTTTCAAAAAAGAAAAGAGGGAATAGTGTTTATCACAACATTAAAACTCTCTCAGACCTCCCTGTGTGGACTGGACAGTCTGCATGCTGGCAAACAGCGCTTCAGAAATCACTTTTGTCTGGGGAAACACGCAAGGACACACACAAAATGAAGGTTAATTGCACCTGAGGTGTTTCAGTAGTATTAGTTTAAACCAATTTCAGTAGCCAGTATTCCTGATTGAGCATCACAAGTTACTGTAGCTTGTTGATATATAGGCCATAGCTGTTTTGCAAGGCTCAGAGCTGCAGTTTAGCCAATGTCTAGGGAAGCATCACATCTTTTTTCTTTAAGAATATTTGGTATAGCAATTTTTTCTTTCATTACTTTCATTTTAATTGTAATTCCTTTATTAGAAGTGCCTCCAGTAAAAGTGAATTATGGCCAGACCAAAGTGCAAGCACAGAGGATATTTCATCATTATTGGTGAGAATGGGCACTAGGTGGCATCAGGTAGTTAAACTTTGCTGTAATTACAGAGCTCAGAGTCACAGCTAAGTGTGCAGTACATGGAGGCTGAACAGCTTTGATTACCTTTATCATCAGTGAGAGGAATGGGGTATCAGTAGGCAGCAGCGGTCATGGTTCTGGCCTCAAATCTAGAAGGCTGTGGGTTCAGCTCTCGTGGGACACTGCGGTTGTACCCTTCAGCAAGTTACCTCACCTGAATCGCTCTGGTAAAATATCCATATGTATGAATGGGTACGAATGTAAATAGCTTTGTGAAAAAAGTGTCGGCCAAATAGATTAGTAAGTAGTAAATGTTAAGAAGAGGCTAATATGCAACATGAATATTTTACACTTTTC